AAAAAAAAACGTGATGGTGATGTGATGATATATATATATATGTATATGTATCATATGTGTAATAGTATTAGGATTAGGAAAGAGTTGTTGTCCAAGACAAACACAAACTCCCACACAAACACAAATTCTCACACGTTAGAAACAAAAGAGAAGGGAAAATCTGTCGGGCCGGGCCCGAGAAATTGGGTCATACAGATTTTGGGCCAGTTGGGACATTTAAATCGGCTCACGGGCTCAATTAAATATTTAAACGAATATTTTCGGGCCCAATTTCGGTTCCAACGAAAATCCTCGGGCTCGATTTCGAATGTAAACGCGCGATAAAAATAAACCGAACAGTATATATATATTTTACATATTTTTAAATACACATTATTCATATTAATAAATCACAAAATCAATTAAACAATTAGACAAATAGATAAATATATTGGCATTCAATAAAATAAAATATAAATATCACTACCAATTAATAATAACAATAATAATAGCAATAAAAATAATAAAAATAAATCCCAAATAATCCACAAATAAACGGGGCATTACATTTATACTTTATTATTAAAGTATAAATCATATTGAAGTGAACAACCACTTAGGATAAATATTGGAACAAGAAATAAATCATAAAATATAGTAAAAAGTAAATTATCATACGGATTAATATAGAAAAAGAAAAATAATTAGGAATTTTTTGAGTTAATCAACTTCCAAGGAAATTTTTGACTATGCAGATTGATTAACTCAACTAAATAAAGAAAAAAAAAAAGTATGAAAAGAAATAGAGTTGGAATGGAAAAAAGTTACGGAAATTTGGGAATAGATAGAAAAATTCTTTCGATATATTTTGATAAGGAGTTGTTAGATAATTATGGACCAATAGATTTATTAAAATATTTTTTCTATTTTAAAATATTGATATACATAATCGGTTCCACAAAAAAAAATGAAGTGAAATCTATTACTATAATAAAACTCGGATTTGGCAAATAAAAAGGAAGTGAAATTTTTTGCTAACATTGACTTTATCCGATATATACCAAATATCATCCAAAATAATGAAAACATTATCCAAATATTTCAAATAAAATTTGAGGGAGAAAATAAAAATTTGAGCGGAAAAAATGACAATTAATTTTTGATTTTTTTTCATGATTTTTCTTAACTGTATTATATAGTAATAGATTTTATTTTTAATTATTAGATTAAAATCATATATTAGCAAATTTAATTGGACAATTTAATTTAATATAAATCTTTTATGTTATGAAAATGTGAAAAAGAATTATACAATAATATTTTATACACACGAAATACAAAATTAATAAATTAGTGATATGATCATTATCTAAATTTTAATTAGTGATATGTTCAAAGAGTTATTTAGTTTATACTTATGTCGTTCATTTTTAATACTGATAAACTATAAATTATTATATGCTCATTATCTAAATTATAATTTTAAATATTACAAACATACACATATAACATATAAAAATTATTTTTATTTATACATGTGCACAAGATCGTATACTGGTTATACGAGGAAATATATATATATATATATATATATATATAATAAGAATTACTATTTACCAAAAATAGTAGCAACAAAATAGGTCAGAATTTAATGCAACATATAAATAGTAAGTTTTATTATTTTTCTTAATTTTTCTTTAAAAATTATACAATATTAAATGCTACCTTAAATTTTGAGCTTTAGTTCATTTTATTATTTAAAAAATCCGGCCAAAATTTATTAAGTGTGTATGTTTTTATTTTTATTTTTTTTCTTAGAAACAACGAACAACGTTAAAATCTCGGTCTCTATAATTATAAAATCTCAATTCAAAATATAACAAAAGTTTTAGAATATCGGTCTTTATATTTGTGCCTTTAAAAAGAATATTGGACGCTAAAAGTATTCTTTAAATTGCATAATCAATCAATTAATCTTAATTTTTTGAAAATTACTATGTTTATTTTTTATTAATATGCATAAAGTAAAAATAATTAATTCAATTTTAGATATATAATTTATAATCTTAATATACTATCGTTTGGTGTAGACATTTATTATATGAATCATAAAATATTTTTATTTCATAAAAGTAAATATATTTAAAGAAAATAAGAAAATTCATTCGGATCAATCGGGTGATTGAACTAGGGTACTGCTCAGGTTGATTGATTACTTTTAGATAATATTTAAAATAGGAAAAAAACTTGACACAACTTGGTTGGTCACAGGTGACTAAATTATGTATCAGTTCGACCACACCAAATCAATTATTGAACCTAAATATAAATTTTATATTGAAATATTTTATTACGTGAATGTGATGTAGTCTAAACTTCAAATAATCGTATTAACAATACTTTTATGACAACATGTCTACTGATTTATGAATATTTATATATCATTTTATTAATATTTATGTGAATTAAATAATATTTTACTATAATATTTATTAATGTAAAGTAAATATAGGATTTTCAGAACTGGACCGTCATCGAAACGATCAAGCTATTTTATTAAATCATTTGTGGTTTGTTCAGCTTTTAATTTATAAACATTTTAATATATATATATATATATATAGTACTTTTTGTAATAAATTTAAATAAAATGTGTTACTTAGATATCTAAACAATTTATAAATTCAAATGTTTAAACTATTTGATAAATAATTTATAAACCTCTATTTTATTTAAATATGTAACTTTATTTAAAATAATTTTAAATATAACAAAATTTATTTAGAAAATCGTATGAATCCTACCAGTACAACCGACTAGTGTTTACGGATTCGAGAATAAATATTTTATTCAAACGAACTAGACTGGTTATAAACCGATTCTCGGTCCATCCGGTCAGACTGTGTCCAACTTGGTTTAATTTTAAAAATAATAGAAAATTCATAATTAATGTTATATATATATATATATTTAATTTATAATACAATCGTAATATTATTTTCTAGTTGCACGGGCGGAAGAAAAACCCCCAACTTTATATTTTTCTATCCTATAAAACCTCGCTTACTCGCTCTGAGTGACCCCTCCAAAGAAAAACCCTAACTTTGTAATTTTCTCACCAGAAAATGTCGAAATCCCGTGAGCCCGAGAAGCCCGTCTCCTCTGAAACCTTTTCTGGCGAGGAGGAAACCGACGATTCCTCGTCTGAGGAAATCGAATCTGAGCCAGAACCGATCCGCAGGTCTTCCCCACCGCCGGCGGCCGCCAGGAAACCCCATACCCCGTCTGGCACAAAGCCCGCCCCACCCGACGAGGATTCTGGATCCGAATCCGAATCCGAATCCGACAAGAAGTCCAGAAAGAATTCCACGAGAAAGAGGGCAGTCGAGGAGGTTAAGGGGACGGAGCCCACGGTTACCAAGAAGTCGAAGAACAGCAAGGAGGCTGAGCCAGAGGCATCAGAGAAGAAACAGTTGTTCCAGAGGATATGGAGCGAGTCCGACGAGATCCGCCTCCTCAACGGAATTATGCAGTTTAGGGCCGAGAAGAAATCCGACCCGCATGATAATATGGACGCCTTTCTTGCCTTCATCAAGAAGGATTTGCACATTGACGTGACGAAAACCCAGATGAGGAAAAAGATTTCTAGGATGAAAGAAAAGTACACAAACAACAAGCGCAAGGAGCAGGAAGGTAAAGGAAGAGCCTTTACGAGCCAGCATGAGCAGGAAGCCTATGATCTGTCGGAGAAAGTGTGGGGGGCTGAGAAAGAAAACAGGGTCGAAAAAGCCAATGGCAGTGGGCCTAAGAAAGAAAACAGGGTCGAAAAAGCCAATGGCAGCAGGGCTGAGAAAGAAAACATGGTCGAAAAAGCCAATGGCAGTATGGCTGAGAAAGAAAATGGGTTTGAAAAAGCCAATGGAAGTGAATCAGACCCCAATAATATTAAGGATTCAATGGCTAGTGAGAGGAGGTTTGTGCAGACGAAGGCAAGGTTGTTGAGTGGTTTAGACGAGAATCTTCCAGCTGTTGGGGACCTCAAGCTCGAGGAGGGGGAAATGGGGGTTAAGGAGTACGAAGAAGCATGGAAGAAGCTCGAGAATGAAGAGATGGAGGTCAATGTGAGGTATTTTGAGGTCATGACTCAACACTCAAAGCTTCTTCTGCAGATCATGAAGTCCCGGAGCCATTGAAGGTGTGCACGCAGGTTGCCGCCTTCTAATTTTATCAATATCTTTAGCTTATTATGTGATGGATACATTGGATATTTTGCTTTGTGTTTATGATTTGCTAGTTTCCAGGCTTTTGTTACTATGTTTAGGAATTCTGTTCTGGTTTATTTTGTGATGGTACGTCTAATTGGGTAGTATCTAAACATGAAGCCTGTTTATCCTTTTAGTTTGGTTTTGAATGTCGTTTGTGTATGAAGGCTCCTTGATATCTATTTACATTATTAGTATGTTTACCAATTTCCTATGCAGGTATAGCTGGCTTTGAAAGTATATTATGATTGCAAAATCAGATTATTATTGCCAACTGGGCCAAAAATTCTAATGTTTGCGTCGACTCCTCATTTACTTTTTCATTCAATGTATACGGCTCATCAATTCACTTTCCAGTAGATGTTTCGAGTGAATCTTGTGTGGAAATTTTATTTTTTATGTTTTGCTGGACTAGGATACTGTGCTGATTGTTTGCTATGTCGGTGTCTCATATTTAAACTCTTTTGTATGTACACGATTCCTTGTGAAATCTCTATGGAGTAACATTTGCAAGGTAATAAAAATCAGCCTAAGCGATTTTGCAGTGTACCTGTCTGAAAAATTGTTTGGGCAAAAAAATGAGGCTACCAATATATGGGTCCTAGGTCGCCACTGGCCTACAGTTTTTTTGTTTTCGGTTTAGTTATTAATATATATATATATATACTTTTTTTTTCTTTTTTTCGCTGGTGATATATATATACTTTTTAGTTGTACTTATCGACTACTTGTGATGGTGAGTTGGAGTTGTATGCATCAATCATTTTTTCCTACACCTCAAACATTTTAAGAATCCTCTTTCACGTTTAGCGTGGTAGATTTTCTCTGTAGTTCTGTCCTTCCCAGCAGCAAAAAACATTAGGAAAGTATCATTTGTTTTTTTGGTTGGTCGATTGGTCCAGAAAAACCTTTTGAGCGACTTTCGTTTTTTAATTTTTGAATATAAATATTTTATATAAACCTCGCATGTAAATGAGAGCTGGTCCCAATCCATTGCAAGTATCTTGCTTATAAATGTGGCAGTTAGCCTTTGTGTGGGTGATTACTCCTGTTTTGTGTGAAATAAAATTCACATTTGTTTGCCACTTTGCTGTATTATCAAACATGATATGAGCACTTGTGGTGGTCATAGCACTTTATTTGATTGGCCACTTATATGTTTCTGGGCAACATCTTGTATGTAGCACTTTTGACTTATAGATTTTGAGCAGGGGCTCCTTACACTTGAATCATTGTATTAGCTTGACTATGAAAATTTGATTTGTGATATACCTTAGAGGGAGAAGAACAGTGTTTTGGCGTTTGTTCCCATGAAGAGTTGTTTGGCTTTTTGCTTTGATAAATGTGTGCTTTGGACATCTGTGCGTATTTACTATTTTCTACGACCCCGTAAGGAAATATTTAAGGTATGCACCTCGTGCATCGCACGATTATCTGTACGAGCATATATAAAAGAGTAGATAATAATTTACAAGTTCGTCTATCTCACAAGACTACAAGGTACAATAATTAATTTTTATTTTACAAATATAACATATACATTTTAATATTACTTAATGAATGATTCATGTAATTTCTATTAAAACTTCAAAATTGTTTTCATACTTTTATTTTTTTTATACATGTGTTTAATTAGATTATTATTGTGAAGTATTTCATGTTTAAATTCGTGCACATTTAATAAACGAGTTGTCATGATTCGACCCATTTAATAAACAAACAAATATATGAGCCCTAATTGGATCATTTAAACTTGCTTCGACTCATTTAATAAACTTTTAAACCTAAACAAAACTCAAAATTTTAATCTAGTCGACCGCGAACACGTTCAACTTGACTTGTTTGATAAAAAATTCGATTAGTTGTTTCATTTTAGCTTGTTTAAATATACAAGTGAGTCGAATTCGATCTTTTACAAGTCGAATTGAACTATATTAGCAGATAATTCAGTTTGAATAATAGTTGCACGTTTTGCATTCCAGGGGAAAAAAAATTCTGACTACGTAGATAAAGCCAAATTTTTGAAGTAATTTACAATTCATTATTTTTAAAATTGCTAACATTAATTATAATAAAAAATTACGACATAGTTTATAACAAATACAATTGTGTTCCAATTTTAAAATATATATAGTTTTTTCATGGATGTCGTATGTTATATATCATATCCATGTCATTAGTATTTCATAGATATTAGATACTATATCGATTGAGACCTAATCCGGCAAACCGTTCTGTTTGGTTTGCACATAGATATGGCTAAAGTCCGGGCCGCGTCACGGCTAGTCCACAGGGCCTCCGGGTAGAGTTTCATGGACCCTTAATCGGCACGGATCTATGCTCGTGCTGGGTCTATGACCCGGTTAACTGGGCCGGGCTAGGTCCGGATCTGTGCCAATCAAGGCTGTGTCGTCAATTTCTAAATAAAAAAATAAAGAAATAATAAAAAGGGTATCGGCCAGCCCGGCCCGTCAAAATTTTGGTCCGAACTCAAACTCGTGGTCAGTGGGTTTGACCGGGCGGCCCGTGACCACGTCTATTTGCACATGCCTACTATTCATACAAGCAAAGCAACATCAGCAAAACCAAAGGACACGAAAGTAAAACACCAAAACACTCGTCAAACCCTATCTTCTTCCATTCCTTTCCCTTTCTCTCCCCTCCTCCAAACCCCAATCCAAATTTCAGTTTTCCACTAAATCTAGAGGATGATTTAGATGGATTTCAGTTCGAATTTCTGGATTTTTGTTTCCTAAAATTTCAGCTGGTTTTGGTGATTCCTCGTTCTATAACCAAAGCTACACATTCGATTTCCCCTCAAAGGAATAAGGTTTTATCGAGGCAATCATGGAAGCCTCGGCACCGGCGTCTTCATCGGCTTCGGCTGAGGACAGTCCTGAGTCGTGGGAGGTTGCTGATGTGGAGGCCAGCATGCACCGCCTCATGCTTTCTTCCAAGAAGGATGCTTTTACTAGCAGTAATAAGCAGGACGAGATATCTGAGGTCTACGGCTCGGGATCCAATCAGGGTTCGAGTTTAAATTTGGGTTCGGGCATGTCGGAAGATTTGATTAACACAGTGGATCAGTTTCTGCGGGAAGCTATACAGAACCCTCGTGAGCGCTTATCGGGTGAG